CCCAGCTATTAATTGCGCCTAGGCGAGAGATTAATCGCGTCTTCTTGAACACTGAATAAAAGTGGACCAAACAAAGACATTACATCCAACTCATTTCAGTTCCATCTTAACACAGTATCGGAGGCATGTACTATTATTATACAAATGATCTTACGCTCTCGATTAGGAACTAAACGAAGGTTAAATGCTTGATTGGCAAACTAAATCGATGAACCTAGTGATCTTAAAGAAAAAATTAATGATCACATGATTTCTTGGACCAAACTACTAAAGGAAAAAAAAGAAAAAAGAGACCGTACATTAGCATAAGAACTCAACAAATTACTTATAAGAACTAATGACATAAGGAAAATGTAAACTCAAACCGTTCTTCCGAAGGTCATGGATTAAATCATTAGTTGTCGATTACATAGCCTAAACTGCAAGTTATATCCAAAATAGAGGCAATTTAGAAACAAAAAAGTTAGATAAGAAAGCCGTGAAACACAAAAAAATTGAGTGAACAAAGTGGGAAGTATTGCTTTCAATTAAGCTTGATTATGTTGACATAAAGCAGGCACACATTGACGTTGGAAACCTAAACAAAAAGCTTAAAAAGTAGCAAGAGAATTCTTCCCTTGAGGTTCAAATATAGCCTACCTATATGAGTAGAGCCAAGTAATTACCATGATTCCATTTTACACATACCATCTCACAACCAACTGCTGCTAATGCTCTGGTCCGTTCCAAACCTCACCTGCTCATATCTCCAATACCATATCACGAAATCAAGAATTATACACAACTAAAAGATCCAATAAGGAGAGTAACTTAGCATGGAACTTTGTGATGGGGGCAAATTCTATGGTCAGTATTAAGCTGTGCAAATTATATCACCTCTGCAAAGCTCACTACTTCCAGTAGTTTCTCACAGAACCAACTACCGTCCTAATCCCTTCCTTCCTTCCTTCCCAGGGCCAGAGTGTGAAAAATGGCGTCCATCTCCGCCAAAACCACAGCTTCTTCCTTCATCCATGCATCTCTCTGTCGCAACCCCTCTCTAGGGGTTTCCTCCGCCCCAGTTCTCGGTGAGTACTCTTGACGCCCCCTCCCCTGAAATTCACAATTACCTCTGGCTTTTATCAATTCATCTTGGGGGAACCAAGAAATTGAATCGATTGGGTGATATGCAGGGCTGCCTTCGTTGGCGAAGAGAGGGAGAGTAGTGAAGTGCTCGGCGGAAGGAAACGGAAAAAACGGCAGCGGGTGGGAGAAGAAGGGGATGATGAGCGCTTCGCTGATGGCGGCGGTGGCCGCAGCAGCTGCGTCGAGCCCAGCGGCGATGGCTCCTCAACGGATGCGAGTAGTTGGAGCGATTTGTAGCGACCTTCTAGAGGCTGAAGCAGAGAAGAAAGAAGAAGCAGGGTTCGTTGCGGCGGGGGAGACTGTGGTGGCTGCGGCAGTAGTTGTGCTTCTCGCCGGAAGGGAAAGCCTCGATCGTCGACAACCTCTTCGCCACGGAGATCGTTCGCTGCACTCCCAAACGCGATCTCCTCAGTCGCAGCAGAAGCGGGCCGTCACTGCTTTCCGCCACTGACCACCAAAACGTCTGGTCGTCTTCCCATGAACTCAGCAACAGCCGGCCGTCAGCGCCTTCCTCCGCTGAACACGAAACCGTGACGCCCTCTTACCAGAATTTTCCGATGGAAACTGATTCTCCTCCTGTCCTGCGGGTAGGCGAAAGAATAACGTGGGAACCCAGTAGAAAAGGTGGTATTTCAGCCAAACGAAAATTAAATGAAAAATAAATAATAACTAAATGATAACGTGGGAAACCAGGAAAAAAAGGTGGGTAGTGGACGATTCTTAGTTCTGCAATCTGGCGGGGAGTTATATTTTTTTCCCGCTCAACACCCTGCCACATCAGCTTCCTAAAATCACTCTATGGACAGGAAAATTTGAATGGGGGTGGCAGTTTTACTTTTCAGCTATAAATTATACTGTTGATTTTTTATGGATTTGTTTGATTAGTCTATAAATTGGTTCTAGACCCATTTGTCTTAAAAATGACATCCTAGAAATTTTTAAAAAAATAAGCAATATCTCCACTTGTTGCCTTGCTTTCCTTTTTTGTTTTGATCGGTTAAAATAAATGATGAGGTATCTTTGCAAAGACTTTAAACAATCCAATACTTATAAATTTTTTCTCTAATGTTATGTTTATATTATCTGAATTAATTTAGTGCAAACCTGTAACGAAAGTGGTAAGTTTGTCATATGAGAAATAATCCCGATGCATAAACATGTTATGTGAGTTATCAAATGGACGTGCATATCAAACCTGATACACCCAAAGATTAATAAATTTGAACGTGGTCTTTAACAATGAGACTATAAAACGTAAACGATACAATACATGATACAGACACGTATATGCTGGAATAGAATAGTATAGGGACTAATTACATTATTAACCTATAAATTAATAAGGATTTGGGTTACTTAAGTCCATTGATATTTAAAATTTATCTTTAAAGGGGTGGATTTGAAGCAAATCAAATTTCTTGAAAGCATAAGCAAACCAAACAAGTGAGAACCCACTCCTGGACAGTATGACCAACCTAAGCACCCCACTTGGGCCTTTGGCCTCTTTCTTTTATTATACTAATAACTAACAACTACTTTTCTTTTGTTTTATTTCTCTTTAGAATTTCTTTTCTTTTTATCAGTTAAAACATTATTATTAGAGTACCATCTTCCTTTTGGAAAAGAAAAATGAAAGATTAGAGTTCATCAAATACGCATGTGAAGAAGATGGACCAGCTTCCCCAAAGTATCTAATAGAAAAAGAAAGCTCCTTCTACATTACTGATTTCATCCCAAAACATTTGCTTTTAAACTAAGATTTTCACTTGTGAATCCTAATCTTATGCAACGCGATTGTTATTTAGATAATTAATTGATTAGAGTTTGGAACAATTACTCTATTTTACATTTTAGTAGGTGTATCCCAAATCTTGATTCTCTAAACACAAACCAGAAGATCACGAACAAGGGCTTGGTCTAGTGGTAATATCACTATCCTAGAACCTGGAGGTCTCAGGTTCGAATCCCTTAAGTAGTACCTTAATCACAAAAAAGAGAAATCTATATCACCCTTATAAAAAAAAACACAAACCAGAAGATCAATTTAAAGTACTTGAAACAAATCTAATAGATATGAACGCACCGTACATTATACATTAGTCACGTGCTAGTCTTTATTATATATATAGAATATATAATTACAATATACAAAATAATAAAATCCAACGATTCTAGTTCAATGATAGAATGACAATAAGGAAAAATCCAATTTTAAATAACAAGATGCATTTGGGTTGAAATGGAGGAGTTATTGTGAGAAATTTGAAGTAAAACATGCTCATTGTAGAGTAGTGCAAGGACTGGTGACCTATAGGAAAGTCACTAAGATATGATTCCTTCTGCTACTGAGACTCATGATGCTGCTGTTCCTAAACCAGGTAACCCTGCTGCTTCTTACGTTACGCACCCAAAAACAAAATCGTGGCGGGTGACCCAAAGTGGACAATATCTTGGTCACGATAGGATCAGGATACTATCTATGCATCCCTCTTGGGAGATGGTGGGACAAACCTCAATGAGGACATTGAGTCCCAACGAAGGGCTATGTAACACTTTAGGAAAATCCTACATCGCCAAAGCATGAGAAATTTATGATTCATAGGGAATAATCCACCCTTAACTGACAAGACGCGTTTTGGGGTAAAATGAAAGAGTTATTGCGATAACTCTGAAGCTAAGTGTGTTAATTGTGGAGTAGTGCACTAATTGGTAACCTATAGGGAAGTCACTATGATACGCACCCAAAAGCAAAATTGTGTCGTGTAGACCCAAAGCGGAAAATATCTTGGTCATAAAAGGATCGTGATGTTAAAAGTGGTATTAGAGCCTCTCTGCGTCCCTCTTGGGCGTTGGTTGTGCAAACCTCAACGAGGACGTTGAGTCCCAAAGAGGGGGCATATGTAACACCTTAAGAAAATCCTATATCAACAAAGCACGAGAGGGATTCATGATTCACAAGGAACAATCCAACCTTAACTGACAATAAACATTTTGGGGGTGAACTAGAGGAGTTCTTAGGTCCGTATGTATTATGGTTTGGTGTCCTCGCATGAGGATATGCTACGTTGTTCGTGAAAGATCAATCTACGCCATGGAAGATTCATTAATTAACGACGTGTGACATGTCTGCACTCTGAAGTTAAACTTGCTCAATGTGTAGCAGTGCAAAGACTGGTGACCTGTACGGAAGTCACTACGATATGCACCCAAAAGAACAATCGTGTCGGGAAGACCCAAAGTGGACAATATCTTGGTCATAAAGAGCCGGGTTGTTAAAAGTGGTATCATAGCCTCTTTGTATCTCTATTTGGCCAATTGTGGGGGCATATCTTAACGAGAACATTGAGCACCAGGTGGTGTACGTAACAACTTAATCAAATCTTACCCTTACAAAGCTCGAGACAAATTCATGATTCATAAAGAACAATTCAACCTTAATTGACCATACGTGTTTTGAATAAAATCGAATTCATACGAGAACTCCGAAGTTAAACATGCTTAGTGTGAAACAATGTAAATGATATATGACCTCAATGATATGCATCCAAACAAAAACAAAATTGTACCGAATAAACTCAAATCGGACAATATCTTAATAAAAAATAGTTTGAATGCCACAATTTAGCTCAAATTCACTCCAAATAAAATCCGAAATGTACACAAATGTCCAAAACAACTCCCCGTTTCCTTTTCCCTTCCTTTCCTGTGCTCCTGCATCTTATCCTCCTTCGCCTCGCCCTGCCCCCCGCACTTCTAAATTCCACCCACCACTTCCTCCTCACAATCAGCACTTTAATTTCCATTTTTTTTTTACTTCCCTCCTCCCCAAACAAAAAAAATCAAATTCCCCTTCCTCCTCCCTCCGCCGCCGTCGAATGACAGATTACCGCCTCCCCTCCGCCGCGACCATGAACCTCTGGACCGACGACAACGCCTCCGTCATGGATGCCTTCATGAATTCCGATCTCTCCGCACTCTGGCCGCCGGCCCCTCCGCCACCTCACCACTCCTCCTCCACCTCCACTTCCACCCCCGCCGCCGATCCCGTCAAATCTCACCACCACAGCCAGCCTCCCCCGCCGACGCCCTCCCTACCGCCGCCGCTCTTCAATCAGGAAACCCTCCAGCAGCGCCTCCAGGCGCTCATCGACGGCGCCAGGGAGAACTGGACCTACGCCATCTTCTGGCAATCCTCTTACGATTTCTCCGGCGCTTCTGTCCTGGGGTGGGGCGACGGGTACTATAAGGGGGAGGACAATAAGGGGAAAGGGAAATTGAGGAAGAATACCAGCACGGCGGAGCAGGAGCACCGGAAGAAGGTTCTCCGGGAGCTCAATTCGTTGATCTCCGGCCCCAACGCCGCCTCCGCCGACGACGCGGTGGACGAGGAAGTTACGGATACCGAGTGGTTCTTCTTGGTCTCCATGACCCAGTCGTTTGTGAACGGGGTCGGGTTGCCGGGTCAGGCTTTCTTCAACGGGTCTCCGGCCTGGTTGGTCGGGTCGGATCGTATGGCCGCGGCTCCCTGCGACCGGGCCAAGCAGGGACAAGTGTTCGGCCTCCAAACAATCGTCTGCATCCCGTCGGCCAACGGCGTCGTCGAGCTCGGGTCGACGGACCCGATTTACCAGAGCTCGGATCTGATGAATAAGGTTAGGGTTTTGTTCAATTTCAGTGGCAGCAGCGGCGGGATCGAAAGTTCCTGGGCTCCGCCGCCGCCGACGCCGTCGAATCCCGACCAGGGGGAGAACGACCCGTCTTCGCTCTGGATCACCGACCCGGAAATGAAGGACGGTGGTGGAACCAACTGCAACAACAACAACAACAAGAGCTCCTCCGCCGCAGCGGCCACCGTTGCTCCGTCGTCCAGCGGCGGGAACCCTAATCACCACCCCCACAACAATTCTTACCCTAGCTCAAGCGGCTTGACGGAGAATCCTAAAGGAATCCATAATCAGAACCAGAACCAGACGCACAGCTTCTTCACACGCGAATTGAACTTCAGCGAGTACGAAGGAATTGGGGGAAACAACAGCAATCGTAATGGGAATTCGATTCTGAAACCGGAATCCGGCGAGATTCTGAATTTCGGGGACAGCAAGAGGACCACATCAAGCGGGGGAAATGGAAATATGTTCTCCGGCAGTCATGGCCATCCTCCGCAGCTGGAAGAGAGCAACAACAAGAAGAAGAGATCCCCGACTTCCAGAGGAAGCATCGATGAAGGGATGCTCTCATTCACTTCCGGCGTAATCCTGCCTTCCTCCGGCACAGCCAAATCCACCGCCGCTGCAGACTCCGACCACTCCGACCTGGAAGCATCCGTGGTCAAAGAAGTCGACTCCAGCCGAATTGCGGAGCCAGAAAAACGACCAAGAAAGCGAGGGAGGAAACCAGCCAATGGCAGAGAAGAGCCATTGAACCACGTCGAAGCAGAGAGGCAAAGGCGTGAGAAGCTGAACCAGAGATTCTATGCTCTAAGAGCAGTAGTCCCCAACGTCTCTAAAATGGACAAAGCTTCCCTCTTGGGAGACGCCATTTCCTACATAAAGGAGCTCCGACTGAAGCTCCAGACCACAGAATCCGAGAAAGACGAGCTCCAGAAGCAGGTCGAGTCATTCAGGGACGAATCGTCGTCACATCATCAGCAGCCACCACCACCCGACAACCACGACCTCAAGGCATCGAACTCGTCGAGCACTAACAACTCGCAAATCGAGATGGAGATCGAGGTGAAGATCATCGGATGGGATGCAATGATAAGGATACAATGCAGCAAGAGGAACCATCCAGCAGCTAGACTAATGGCTGCTTTACAGGAGCTGGATCTCGACGTCCACCATGCCAGTGTCTCCGTGGTGAATGAGTTAATGATCCAGCAAGCGACTGTGAAGATGGGGAGCCGGTTCTATACCCAGGAGCAGCTCAGGTTAGCTTTGTCTAACAAAGTTGGTGACTTTCGATAGTGGCAAGTAAGTTAAGCTGCAGCAAACCAGCTGGTTTATTGCATGTTCATTGAGATTGCACCAGTTTTGGGGACACAATTTTATTAGGGCTCCCACATTTTAGAGCAGAAGTGTAAACTAGTGTTGTCTTTTTTGGCTTATATTTGGTCTTAGTGTAACATTATTAAGTTTGAGAAGCAGATATAAGTTTAGGTTTCGATTGAGGCAGTAAGTATTATGAATGTATTAGGGGATTATTACTGCTGCTGCTGCTGCTTCTGCTTCCTCTTCTTCCCACTGAAGTGAAGATGAGAAAAGGGAGACAGGACCATATTTTTTTTGCTACAAAAAAAAAAGCTCTGCCTCTGTACCTTTGTCAAAATATCGGCTCGTTGATGTGGTGTATATACAGTAATAATCAATCATATGTTGTTGTGAAGCTGATGAAATTGATAAATCTTTTTATCTCTCTCATGTCTGCTGCTGATGGGTATGTTTGGGAGCTGTTTCTCTTTCCATAATCACTGGATTCACACTTGGATTAACCCAGTTTGAGTCGTGTAAAGCTCGTTCGTAAGAACGAACGATTAAGCTCTCACTATCAAAGTGTTACTGCATTTAGAAACTCTTCAATCTCAGTTGTGCTGCTGGTTGGTATAAGCTCGTTCGTTCTTACGAACAATTGAGCTCTCACTATCAAAGAGTTACTGCATTTATGAGCGCTTCAATCTCGAGCAAGTCAAATTGAGCTCGCTGCGACGATTAACCTCTGATTAGATCATGTCAGAGGGTAACCTGACATTTGTGGTTTGTGGTTGATGAGACAAGGAACAACACAAGAGATTTCCAGAAAGGTTCTGGGGAAGCAAGATTTGCCTGATATGCATGTCTGTGTGGGTTGTTAGTTTGAGAGGTTGAATGACTCTCCATTTTCAGCAGTGGGAGAGCGGAAACAGACCTCACATGCTATTGATTTCTATGCTGGATAGGGTAAAAAAGAGTGGAGCTTTCTGATAGGCTTTGTTTGAAGCTGATCTGGCAAAGATCTCTTGTTGTTGTTTGAAAAGGGATTCTGAGATTTTTGGGAGTCTGATTAATGGTTTTCATATAAATTTTTGTGGGGAAGAGAAGAGAAAGGAAAGCATGTGAATGAGTGGGACTGTGACTGCACCAGAGAGCAGAGTTATGATTGGTTGCTGTTTTAGCAATTATCACATGGCAACAATTTTTTTTTTTTTTGGTGGGGGGTGATGGTGGTGGTGGGGTTAATTGCCATTTGGATCACTACTTTTAACTTCTGTGTTCATCTGCCTCACCACATTCTTCTCCTGCCACATTCTTATCCTGCCAAGCATTGGTTTGTATCCATTAGCTAGAAAGTGGTTGGGGAAGTACATTATAGTTTAGGTTGAGCTTGATTAAGATGATAGTAGTTGGTCAAGGAGGTGATCATTGTGGTAGTTGTGTTGTCTGATCGATATTTTTTTATTGATGTTATACTATCTCGTGAGTATTATGAGAAAGTTAATGTAGTCGCTCGATTTTGTTCATATAATGTCCTTTCATAAGCTTGGATCATGTATTAGTCAACTTCCACCTGGTTTGGACATTCGGTTTCCAACAAAGCTTTTGTTTATTTCCAACAAAGCTTTTATTTATGGTTTTGGTCATCTTGGTGGTGGTGATGCAAATGGTTGTGCTGAGATGGTAGGGAAACTTGTATATGGTTATATACTGACTTGGAAGTTGAAAGCACAACTATTTATCTATTCTTGTTCGTGTTATTTACAAGGGCCACATAGATCATCTGAAATTCTCTTACTCCTCCTCAACTATTTGATAGGTGAGATATTGGTCAAGAGCAAACAAAGTCCGAGCAAGACCGGAATTAACTCTTCAAATGGAGTTTAAGAAATAATTAAACACTAGGATTATCATTCTTTCGACTTTCTTGAATGAGGTGACTTTAACTTAAGAGCTGAGTTAGTACTCTATTCTACAATAAAAAATTTATTTTGTGTGTCAAAAAGGTAATATAAAAAAGATTAATAAGTGATAATGATCGTCTGAAATAATCAAATTGTCGAAGTGTAATATGTTAATTTAACCTTTGTTTCTAGATGTATTTGTTATATAATATTCCTTAATTATCCTAATCACTGCAGCTAGCCATGTGTTTTAAAGTTGAATAATGGGTACTTGAAATTGACCACTAAGCTATCGTTATCCTTCATTGATTTCATTTAATTAATATACTTTCCAAACACTTCTTTTTGTTATTTTAATCAATTACTTCTGCAGCCACCAACCATCTCAATAAGTTGATGAGAATCTCATCCAAGGCTAAACTAACATATTGAACTGCAATCAACCATGGTTAGGCTCTATATCTACTCAATTTTTCAATATGTGATTCACAAGAGATAGGTTGTCAACTAGGTTTTTCAGTAAAATTTGGAGAAAATATACTTTGAAAAATTGAAAAGAAAGAGAAATACATCTGTGAAGAAGTGAAATTAAATAAAAAGAAAATTCATCAAACCATTTTTTACATGATACAAGAGAAAGATGAAGTAGAATAAGTCTGATTATATACCAGAAAGATTATACTTAAATGAATTAAATATTATGATTATTTAAGCATAAAATTGAGCATACATGTAGCTAGTCGCAAATGATATTATCATGTGTGATAATCTAAAACTAATATGATCAGCTCGTTGTGTGAATAATTTTTATGTGTATATCCTAATGCTAAATTGCATTGTTTAAAGGCCTAGTTTTCTTTGCATAATATTTCAAAGTTAAACTTGAGCACACCAATAACTAGGGTGGTTTTAAAACCTAACTAACGACCAACTTATTTAGGACCATGCCAAAGCCAAAAACGAACAAAACATCAAGTGGGGACTCAAAAGAAAAGAAAAATATTTTATGGGACCTGCTTGTGATAGTGGTGGATTTATTTGATTAAAATAAAAGGGGAAAATGTGCAACACATGTTAAATAAGATAATGAGAGGGCTGATTGAGATTGACCGGTCCAGACCCCATGCAACGAATGTCAAAATTTGTGAGGTAGTCATTAGAAAAGTTCTGTATCAATCACTTCGTCATTAAAAGATCCATGACAATCTTCTACCATCTTTTCTAGCTAACTAATGTAATCAACCTTGTCAAGCTCTTTGATTTTTGTTTCTTAATTACAAGGTGAAAGATGGAAGCTTCTAAAGTCTTTTCAACTCATATTCTCATTTAGCTTCTAAATTCACTACACCGGGTTGGTTACCCCACGAGCAAGAAGAGTTAAATTTTACCATATTAGGAGAATACATATTAGGGCTAATACCACTACAACACCCGAACTATGACGAAAATGCCACTTGTGTCCTATTGTTTTCAATATTCCATTTGTGTCCTGAACTATTATAGTTTGTGTCATTTGTATCCTGCCAATTTCATTGACCGTTAAAGATAACAGTTGACCAAACGGAGGTCAACTTAACATTGACTTTTGCTGACGTGGCAATGCCAAGTCATTGACACCTCACATTTTTAATTTAAATTAAATAAAACTTTGAAAATTAAAAATTGAAAAAAAAAATTAAATTCAAGAATATTACTAAATAATATTCTAAAACCCAAAATTCAAAAAGAAAAATCTCAATTGATTTGGCCGATCGTCTCCCTCCTCTCTGCGACGGATTTGAGGACGAGCAGGGCTGGGTCCTTGAGGGAGAGGGCGGCGGCGGATTCGGCCTCGACGAGGGCGTGTTTTGCTAGGGATTGGGACTGGGAGAAGTTCTTTGTGGCGGCGAATCTGGGTCGGGCGAGGGGAGCTGGGGAACAGGAATTCTTTGCGCCTCCATCGGATTTTCGTTCCGACTACCGCTGAAATCGATCTCTATAAGCACGACCCTTGGGATTTCCCAGTTAAATATAATCTTGCTTCCTATGATTCGGCTTTTATCCGCTAATCAATCGGAGTTTGCTTCTGTGCATTCTCAGATTTCATTGTTGTCGTTGTCCATCTAACCACCATCTCCTCAATCGCGTCAACAAGCAAGAGCGGCGGGCACCAACCGAAGATGGGAAAGCGGAGTGCGAGTGGCTGGAAGGGATTCACGGGCGAGGGGAGCTGGGGAACAGGAATTCTTTGCGGCGGCGGATCTTCGCAGTAGTGGGAGTAGTTCGACAAGCAGGTGAGAAACACCACAACCTCCTCAGAGATCCCCAATCAGTAGCAAATCCCTTTGCATCTCCGTCCTTCTACTCCCAGCGATTTACCCTTCATCGGCAGCAAATCCAATCCCTAGAAATTGCAATTCTCAACCCACCGACCAGATCTCCCTTCCCGTTTCCAACCCTCGGGAGAAGAGAAATTGAAGGTGGTCGAGGAAGCTCTAGAATCTTGCTCGTTCACCACTCCGGCTCCGCCGCTGCCAAAAGTAGAAATTGAAACCTCCTCTTCCGCCACCGGAACAGCTACGAAAACACAGAGAACTGAAAACGATGGCCGCATCCTCTTCCTCATCGGAGAATGCGTCGACTTGGGGGATTCCGTAGCTCGAAGATGACAGAAGCTGGCAGCGAAAGCAGTATGCTGGGAGGACTGAGTTTGTGGTCGCAACCGAGAAACTCTCTGCCGATTGAGGGGGGTTGAAGATGACGAGTGATGGAGAAATCGGGGTGGGGATGAGGACGAGATGAGAGATAAATAAATTAGGTTTTTATTTTGTTTTAATTATATTGTTAAGTGATAGGATAAAATAAATAAAAAGTAAATTTAAAATTCCACGTCATTTTCCACATCAACGCTGACTAGACAATCTGTTAAATTTTAACGGTCAACGCCAGTCAACACTAACGGAGTAATAGTTCAGGACACAGATGGAATATTGAAAAGAATAGGATACAAGTGGCATTTTCGTCATAGTTCGGGTGTTGTAGTGGTATTAGCCCTACATATTACATAAAGAGTAAAAAATTTATATAGACAACAACACCTTCGTGACTCTCGGT